ATGTTGTAGCTATAAAATCATTTCCCTTCCTCTTAACAGGTATACTACATTTGTCTTGATTGATTAATAAAAAGTTATAACATTTTTTTACAAAAGTTCACCATACCTAATAACATTGCTCAAAAGAATATAAGTCTACTTTTTCATCATAATTAAATATTAGAAGTCCCATCATCTTTACGGTATGCCCCTATGAAAAATTACAAGATTTGCAATTTAAAATATATGATTATAAGCCAGTAGGGTGGACTAATGACAAGTTACATAAAACGATGGAGTTTGTATTTGTCATTTAACATGATACAAATTTTTTTTTTACACACACAACATTTTGTGGAGCCCACACTTTTAGAAGAAAAAAAAACAAAAAAAATTATGGCACGCAAAACGAATCTCTATAACATTACACAATCACTTTTTCTACCACATAACTCTTATAAAATGCCGAGATTATACGTCCCTTTATATTAAAAAAAAGAAGAAGAAGTAGATAACTATTTAAAAGGAGATATTAAGTTCAAATATTAACTTTTGACTGTACCATAAAGATAGCGAAACGTACCTTCAATAGTATTTGTAAATTAGATTAGCAGGAGCAGGAGCTTAAACTTGAGAAGAATGTATCGGTAGAGCATGACAGAGAGAACACATTCATGTGGATGCAGTGTCAAAGGAGGGAAGAAATGGCTCAATACCCACTCCAACTCCCATTAACAAATTCAATACCCTCTCATAAATGCGGAGAAGCTATGCTGCAGCCTTTTATCAATTCCCATTATCAACATTACCAACTTGAACTTCCCTGGTTTCGTCATTCATTACGAAACCAACAATGCTATTTAAGCAACCACTACTTCAGCAACCACTACCTATATATGTTTCTTTATTTCTTTCTGTTGATTAAATGAAGCAAAGTGTTAGGTTCGTCATATGTGGTACACTTTTGGTCCATGGAGGAGTGTTACTTAAGATTTATCTTGTATTTTATTTATTTCTGTTTAGTTTAGTTTTTTTTTTTGCTAGCTAGGCCCTCTTCATGTAAAAAAAATTGATATTAACTATTTTTGACTTAAGCCACTATTTTCTGTTCAAACTCAACCAATCATTAGAGTCCAAATTCATAATCGGTAGCGCATCCAAACATAGAGCAATTATTTCACGGTCCGGGAGCAAGGTGAACCCGGCAAAAAAATAAAAATAAAATAAAGGACGAAATATAGAAAAAAAGGATCTAAGAGTATTTTTTTTTACCCAAAAAAGTAAAGGAGCATGAAAAATTTGATGGACCCGGTGTATAATAAAAATTTCCCTAAACATAGATGCATACAGAGGAAAGAAGGTAAAGATATTTTGTATGTGGTGTCTTGGGTTTGGTATATCTCAATATCATTCACCGAGTATTTTTTTGGTAGATTCATTAACGTGTCACCTAGATGAGGGTAGTCAAAACAATGTGAAACAAGAGTGGATGCGGATCGCCAACATGTTACCAATTTCGATTGGTGTTGGTATCAATGATAGTTGACATATCTAGTTCAACCCTTCTGCCAAATCAAATTGATGGTTCTCTATTTTTGTATTAGAGTGTATCTTCCTTAATTTAAAATTTTCTAAATAAAAAAATTTATTTCTCCTTTTATTGCAAATAAAATTTTTCTGACATATTCACGTAAAGTAAAAGTAAAAGTGATATTATATTTATTATTCAAAAAATTTACAACTTTTATTACTAAATTAATATCATTGATTTCCGTTAATATGACAGTTATAATTTATTGAATATATTTATTAATTAATTATTAATTTTTAATAAATTATAACTGTCAATTTGATAGAAATTAACAATAATTAATTAAATAATAAGAATTATAAAATTTTTATAACCGCCCGCTAAAAGCAAATGTATCACATTATAAAAAAGAAAAAAATATAGTGTGGCAGACTTTTTCTGTAGAAAAAAAAATAGAAACATTGAACTATGGTGTTGGGATGTACAATTAGAAAGGATGGAACAGCTAATTTGCTTTAGAAAATCAAAATTTTGATAGATCTTTAATTCAAATTTGCTTTCCTACTTAATCGTTGGATCTGGAACCTCTCATCTCATGCTTTAAGCAAAAGCAAAGAATTATGTTATTAAAGAAGTGAACTGTAAGGTATGACACCAAGTTAGACATAATTGAAGGCTGAAGAGGATTTTTTTTTATATAAAAAAAGGAAAAAAGTAAAAAAAGAAACGGTTGGCGCCCATTGGAATTCATCTGCGTCATTCCCCTTCATATGGGCCCCAATGTGACCAAAACAAGATACCCTTTTTTTTGTGTTTATTTCTTTCTTTCTTTCTTTTGAGTTAAAATTTGAAAAACCCCACATTTCATGCTAAAAGTGAAGAAACACATGCGTCATTCAAGAAAGCTTTCATGGGTATTTTATATCAATTTCTTAGCTTTCTCATGGACCACCAAATTAACTAAAAAAGAGTATCAAACTAAGGATCTTAATACCACACGAGGACCACCCAACAAAAAAAAAAACCAACATCAATTAAATTTTATTAACAATGTACTGTAGTCATCGTCATTTATGGTATATCTTATTGCTTTGGAAATTATGGTATTTGAAATGCTATATGGGTCCCTTCTCCATCGTACAATTAGTTAAAATGTTTGATTGGGTATTTGTGGCAACACCTACTTCTACTTGTACCATTTGTTCATAAATGCTTGCAATTTGAGATAAAGATGTTAGTTTTGACATTAGGATTACGCAGCCTTGACCTTTATAGCATAATGGCATTCATTGTGTTTAGGACACCTCTCAGTGCATCTAGCACCTAAGTGTTGGATACAGTGACGGACGCAGGTGAGCGCATATGTTAGGAAGTGTGGACATAAAATTTTAAATTTTTTTTGTAGCCATGTAGTTCTTTATTTATCTCTTTGTTCAATATTTATATTAGGAGTAAATATCTTTTTAAGTTCTTAAAAAAAAATGGTCCCAATTTTAGTCCCTTACCAAAAATTAGTCTGGAGGAGGTCTCTAAGAAATTCAAAGTGGATCAATTTAGTTAAAATAATGGTTCCTCACAAATTCAAAAAAGACCTACATTAGTCCCTCAAAAAGACTAAAATGGGTCTCCACTTTAAATTTCATACAGATTAGGTGACTATTTTTTTTATAATGAATTAAAATGGGGATCGAATTTTTTGTTAAGGATAAAAAAGATATTTATTCTTATATTAGTTAGCAACGTAGCAACATACGCAGATGATTAAAATAACATAGCAACGCAAATTGATTAGAGAGAAAATTTATTCTTCTTCCTCTGTCACGTACACATTCCCATGATTTCTTCATCCTTTGTTATGGAAGCAACTAGATTATGAGTGTGTTCATGCGATAATTTAAACTTTTTTTATAAAAAAAATTCGAGAGTACTAGCCCCGAACCTCCACCGCTAAATGTGCGGATATAAAACAATTTTTCTGGATCCATGACTGTTGCATAGTGATGGTGACAGAATTAAAGGGTATGAAGCCTATGAAACACACGAAACTAATTAATAGCTACTAAATGAATTCAATACCCTTTCCACTGAATTCTTGCTCCACATATTTTTGGAACAAAAAAGACCAAATAAAAATTGATCATTTAGTAATATACATCTTTCCATTACAATCAAGTGCATGTATTTTTGACTATATTCCCTCGAATCCAAAAAAGATAAAAATCAATAAAAAGAAAAAACACGAATAAATAATTCAACTAAAATAGGATTGTGTATTTTGTCTTGAGTTTTATTCCTCGCATATAAATCATATGACACATGAGTACTTTTACAGGAGTAACATTTCATAACATATTTGTTGTTTCCGAAAATTGTCAAACGATTCAAATTCTAATAAGACAATTGTCATGACAAGACGAACGACTTTTGTCCAATCAGAGTATGAAATCCCTAAAAAAACCAACAACTTGCATAATCTTGCCTCAATTAAGAGAACTAATTTTAGATTACTACTTAATTATCTATCAGAAAAATAAAAATGAACCAAAGCTTTAATTAAAGGGGTTTGCATCCATCATGCAATAGGAAAAAAAAGAGTTTCCTACACACACAATATTTTATAGGTTTCACATTTTTTGAAGCAAAATAAAAAATCTAAGACACTGAATACGAATTTCTATAACATGACCACTTCACTTTTCACTTTTCCTATAACATAAGTCTTATAAAATCCTTAATTAAAATCAATATTGTGAAAATCAGACGATGTGATTGCCAATAGATCGTATATGCATATCAATTAGTAATCGGCCTCTAACTCAAGATTAATCGGTGGAAACCCAAACCGGTTTAATGTATGAAGTAAAAGACAAAAGTCACTATGCTAATGCTCGGTTAAGATATTTCATTACTATTATTATATACTTTCATATAAATCAAATTAAGCGGTGCAACTAATGATTTATTGATTGAACCATTAATCTAATACCCGAATCGAGTCAATCTCATTTCCAATTTTTATAACATTGGTTAATACACATAGAAACTCAACCGGTTCAACCGGTTTATTCTAAACTCGTTTTATAACCACACACTGAATAACATAAGATAGATTGATCCACCCAAGAATTGTTGGTTTTATGAAGATCCAATTAGATTCCAAAATTTTGACCTATTCAAAGAATAATAGGTTCGATATATGAGAATCACAATTTTCTAAAAAAAAAAAAAAAAAAGGAGTTACAAGTTACAACCCCGAATTCTAAAAAATTATTGATCCATTACGTTGTGATTAAAATATATTCACAAGTCTTGTACCAAAATATATATATATATATATATTCACAAGTGCAGGGGCGTATCCGTCTTTTGGAAGAAGGCCCCCCCGGTTCGTTCGTAGGACATAGCCGTTTGATAGTTTTGAAGACAGTAATGATTATTATTATTATTATTATTATTAATTAAGCACGACGATTTTTATATTTAATCTTTAATTAATGTTCAAAATTTTTCATTCCTCTGTTTCGCAATCGATTCGAATTGAAGGCTTTCAGAGGGTTCCTCTCTCCTATTGTGTTCTCATTCTGCCATAAACGACCAAAGCCACTCTCATTCGAAGAACTCAGCTACGCAATCGTTTTCAGATCTGAATCGCAATTGTTATTTGCAGATCTGGATTGACTGCATTTTCCGTTCAATTGCAGGTTCCGCCTATTTGGATTCCCTCACTTTCATGTTCTTCTCGTGAGTCTCGCTGTTTATTTTCTCATCATCTCATTTCATTTCCTTCGTTGTTTTTTATTTATTTTGTGATTCTTTTTTTTTTTTTGAACAAATTTATTTTGTGATTCTAATTTCGAAGATTTTGTGCGAAGCGTGTGTAAGCAGATCTTGAAAATTGGCGCCACAGAAACGTTCGCATCGCCACGTGGGTGGCCAGATGCAGCAGGGCAATGCCGCCGCCGCCGCGGCAGCTCTCTACGACAATACCGCCACCGATGCCGGCGACGCCGTCATGGCGCGGTGGTTGCAGTCCGCCGGCTTGCAGCATCTGGCATCTCCCCTGGCTTCAACTGGCATCGACCATCGCCTCCTCCCGAACCTTCTCATGCAGGTATTGTCGTTCCTCTTACGATGATAACAACCTCTTTTATGTTGCACTGCTTGAATTTTTCTGTTAGTTGAGGTCAACCCCAATGGACAACACTGCGTTTTTTCATTTCCTTCTCTTATGTAGAAGGTGTTGATTAGCATATCATCTGCTTCTCCGAATTTCCCTTCTGTATGCTTGAGTGATTTATAAACTATATATTATTATGTGAATATTTTATTTGATCTTTGCTAGACAAAGGAAGTTTGGTCGATTATGCGTATCGTAATGTCTTTCATGTTTTGGATGACGTTTAAGTTAAAGATTTTGTAGCACTTGCTTATTTGTTGTATTACTCTCTGAATTTTGAGGGATAAATATATGTACGGTTTTCTTTTGGTTAGAAGCTACCATTGAGGGTAGTATGGGTCAAATTTGCTAAATATATATACATATATATATATATATATATTTTCTTTGTGATGGTACTCTATGAGGAGACTTAGATGATTATGATATTGCCGTAGGGTTATGGAGCACAGTCTGCTGAAGAGAAGCAAAGGCTTTTAAAGTTAATGAGAAACCTCAATTTTAATGGGGAATCTTGTTCAGAGCCATATACACCCACTACCCAAACTTTAGGAGTGACTGCATCCGACGGGTTTTATTCTCCTGAGTTCAGGGGGGATTTTGGAGCCGGGCTTTTGGACCTTCATGCTATGGATGATACAGAGCTGTTGTCTGAGGTATGAATATGATTCGTTATATCATAGTGGCCTGTTCATTCAAGTAAGCCAATAGACTTAGTTTGGCTCATTTACTACAGTTTATCGAGAAAATATGTTCTTAATGTTGTTATCTGTGTCACAGAAGATTAACCCAGTATTACTAGCAGTTTTTCATGAAAAGTTTTGCAACTATTTATACCATCTTATGCAACAACTTGTGTTGGTATTGGTGAAAATCCTAGGTTGTATAGCCAGCAATTTTGACAGTAATATTGGATCTGAATGTCTGAACCTTCAATTATTATTATTATTCTCTTAATTGCACATGTTTATTCTCTATAATCCCTTATATTCCTGCATTTAGCTTAACTTTCTTGCAGCAGTAGTTTATTATCTGTGCTTGCATGTGTTTGTTGGGTCTAATTTTTTTCCTCTTATCAGCATGTTATTTCAGAACCTTTTGAACCATCACCCTTCATGCCTGGAGATGCTATAGTATTTGAAGATGATTTTGATCCAATTAACAGCAGGCTGGAAGGAGGAGAAGCAGATGCTGATGCATCAATTTCTTTACCTTTGAATGAAAAAGAGAATAGTACGAGGGAAAATAATGTTGCTAAGATTAAAGTTGTGGTATGTCAAAATTTTATAGATATAAGTAACCCATATATACATGCATAGCTTCATACTTTATGCATTAAAACATGTAGAAAGATATGATTTTTCATATGCTGCATCAGGAACTTCATATCCATTGAAAGTAGTACTAGGTACATATTGGGAGTTTAATTTCTGTCCTTATGTTTTAGTACTAGAACAATGAACAAAAACCTCAACTACTACTATCACTCTTATAATTGTTTCCCTGACTAGCAGAAGAAATTCACCAAAATCATCATCAGTTGGTATAGAAACTGATGAGGAAAATGCATTTTTTATTAAAATTTCCTGCATTTTAATTCACAGCATTTTGAAATTTGAACCTTTTCATCTTCAATTAAATGTAAGTTTGATTCATTAACATCTGAGGGGAATTTGTTAATTGTTTTTATTTAAATAATTTTCTTTATAAACTTCCTTTTTTTAATGCATGTATTAGGTACGCAAAAGACCTTTAAACAAGAAGGAACTTACTAAGAAGGAGGATGATATTGTAACTGTATCTGACAATGCTTATTTGACAGTCCACGAAACTAAACTAAAGGTTTGTTTAGATATTGGATTGAAGCAACTATATTCAGTTCAAAGGTTGAATGAATGCTGTCTCTATATTGAGTTATCTTTATATTGATGTTCTTTTTATTTACCACTCAAATATCTGACTGTTTGTTCTATCATGAAAAGGTTGATTTGACGGCTTATGTGGAGAAGCATGATTTTTGTTTTGATGCTGTTCTTGATGAGCATGTTACCAATGATGAAGTAAGGCATCTCTTAAAGATTCAATTTTATTTGTTTACCAACATAAATAACTTTCTTCAATTGTTTTGATATCATCTATTGGCTTCTTTGTAATTGCTGGTTTTTGGGGTTTATGGAAGTGAATGCATGTCTCTGTCTTGGTCTTTTGATTTGTTTGATCTAAGGCATGGTTGCTTTATAATAACAGGTATACCGGGCTACAGTAGAACCAATTATTCCTACAATTTTTGAGCAAACCAAAGCTACCTGTTTTGCTTATGGTCAGACAGGTGAGAATTTTTTTGTTTGCTATTGATATCATACTTGTACCAAATTATCAGTATCGTCCAATTTTACATTTCAAACCTTATAGTTTTTCAATATTATCTGCTTGTGTGCTATTTTTGGTTTAACTTACTAATTTGTTTATACTTTAGCATTTGTTGCTGGTTCTTGATAGTGTTAGTGTTTGAACATATTGAACAAGGATAGGGATTCTTTTGTCTTTTTCTGTTTTCTTTTTGGGTGTGTGATGTTGTTCCTTGTTGGCATGTGAGATATAGGCCAATATAGTTAACATCTCAAAACATCAACATCAATAACACCTTTATCCCAAACTAGTTGGGGTCGGTGGTAGATGAACCCAAATGGAAGGTACAGAGAGATTGGAGAAAAGATAAAAATACAATTTAAGTGTGTATATATATATAGAAAGCAGCAAACAATTAAAAGGGAAAGTATATTAAAATAAACTAAAGATATATAGATATATAAGTTTGTTCATTCATGCTGACTTTATATCACTTTCATTCATTACTGTGATGCTAATAATACTTTACTTTCAGGAAGTGGCAAAACATACACAATGCAACCATTACCACTCAGAGCTGCAGAAGACCTTGTTCGACAGTTGCATCAGCCAGTTTACCAGAATCAAAGATTTAAATTGTGGCTTAGCTACTTTGAGATATACGGTGGAAAACTTTTTGATCTTCTTGGTGATAGAAAGTGGGTATTTCTTTCGGATTATATATTTTTTAAATTTTGATCCTTCATATTAACACACTGGGTGTATTGTATAAATGCATTTGATGATGGTGTTGCAGTACAGTTTGTCCTTAAATAATTAGGTTTGCCTCTGGTATAAGTGCTTTGTATGTGGATCTGGGCCTTAATTAGGAGATGGCATTTTTAATGTTTGTGTGGAGGAATCAACTGCTTTATTAATATTCTAATATCAAGCATCACTCCTTAACTTGATCTGACATCAATGATTCATTTTTATTTATTTTTGGCTGTATAGGAATGTAAGTATCTATCTTTCTCAGTTAATATGCATCTACAGATGTCATCTTGCTTACTCAGGGCATCAACCTACACGTTTTATTTGCTCTTTGGTGCAAGCTGTGTTAATCGATTTTTGGATGACTGTGTTTGTTACTCTATGAATAGGAAACTTTGCATGAGGGAAGATGGACGGCAGCAAGTTTGCATTGTAGGACTGCAAGAATTTGAAGTTTCTGATGTACAGATTGTCAAAGAATTCATTGAAAAGGGAAGTTCTGCAAGAAGTACAGGATCCACTGGTGCTAATGAGGAGTCCTCCAGGTCACATGCTATATTACAACTGGCTGTAAAGAAGCACAGTGAGGTGAAAGAGAGCAAGCGGAACAAGGATGGAAATGAGGCAAGAAGTGGGAAGGTTGTGGGAAAGATTTCTTTTATTGATCTTGCTGGAAGTGAAAGAGGTGCTGACACTACTGACAATGATCGTCAGACACGGTACTTCTACATTTTAATTATTTGCATATGTTCCAGACTCCTCCAAAATCAACTGCTTGACAGTGCTTTCTAGAATGTTCTATGCATGAAGATTTAGGGATGAAACCAAACTTCTTAAGGGGGCGTTTGGTACAGGTGAAATTTTTTTTTACTAGGAAAATGTAATTACCCGGGATTTGGGAAAGTGAATTAGGTAGGAAAGTTAAAAAAAAGTTGTTTGGTTGGGTAAAATATTACCAGGTAAATTGATTAAAGTTTTTGAAGTCTGTTTGGTTGAGGATAGAATATTGATGGGTAAATGGTATAAAATTACAAAAGTAACCCTTTATTATTTTTTTAATATCAATACAAATATTTTTGGAAAACCAATGAACTGCACTATGGTATAACTGAATTTTTACACAAAATCCAGAGACTAAGCTTTTGATTCTGCAGTTAGAAATTTAGAATTTCTAATATCCAAAAAAAAATATAAAAAAATTAGAATTTCTAACGCCCATAATTGAAGTTGCAGAGAGTTTCTAAATAGCACGCCCATAATAGAAGGGTAGTTCAGTCAAATCCTTCATTCTATGTATTCCATTTGCCTAGTTATCATACAATACCATTTTCAAAGTGGCATTGTTGGTCTGTGTTTATTGTTACTTTTTGCAAAGAATTGTGGAAGCATAGCCAAATCAGTTGGCTGGGGATTTTTAAAAAACGTTGAACCAAACGTTGTATTCATAAAATGCCAATATGTATTATGTAATGCCTGGGGTTTTTATAAGAAAACCCAAACCATCCCTAAAAGCTTTTCTTAGTAGCTGCTGAATTTATATATACTGAAGATATAATAAAAATGAAAACTTCAAAGTAAATTAAATTTGTATTTTGCAGTTATCAGTCTTCGTAGAATTAAGTTATTGCTTTGATGTTTTTCAAACTACAAACTAGATTCAGTATAACAAACTGAGGACTACCTCGTTGCACAAATTATTATAAAATGTGGGATTACTGTGTAAAATAGAAGTCAAATGTACAAATGTCTTGCCTGTTTATTTATCTTCTACATTTTAGTATGTTGTTTTCCAGTAACTACTGAAAACAAGATTTGGGGGCTTTCTCCATCCCTGCCTTACGGAAATTTTACTTGTTCAGATCAAGCACTTTTTCTCATATTAACAAATTACTTCACTTTGCAATTTTTATGTATCTTTGCCCTAGGATTGAAGGAGCAGAGATCAATAAGAGCCTTTTGGCTTTGAAGGAGTGCATTCGTGCTCTAGACAATGACCAGATTCATATTCCATTTCGTGGAAGCAAACTTACAGAAGTGCTTCGTGACTCCTTTGTTGGCAATTCAAAGACTGTTATGATCTCTTGTATATCTCCAGGTGCCGGGTCTTGTGAACACACACTTAACACCTTGAGATATGCAGATCGGTACGTGTTTCCCTATTATGTGCTCTAACATTATGTTTCATAACAGGGAGCCTCCTTTCTTTCCTGGACATTTATGTTTGCATATGTTAACTGCTTCATCATAATGTTAACAGGGTCAAAAGTCTATCCAAAAGTGGAAATCCTAGAAAAGACCAGGCCCCAAATCCAGTACCACAAATTAATAAGGAGGTTTCATCCACATCATCCCTTCCATCTAGTGCTGGTGCAGAGGATTTTAATGATCAATGTCAAGAGAAAACTATGGAGATAGGCAGGAAATTTGTTGAAAAGGAAAATTCTTTGTACAGCTCTGCTGCTGCTGATGTTGACAAACAGCCATCAAATTTTTCTTTAAGTTACCCATTAAATGGACGAGAGGAAAAAGGGTTGGCTTCTACTTCAATGGACAGGAACAGGTTTGAAGCGAAGAACTCATACAGTGATTCAACCAGTCAAAAGATGAACTCTTATTCACAAAACGATACAGAAGAGAAAGTGCAAAAGGTGTCTCCCCCACGCAGAAAGGTGTCTAAGGATGAAAAGTCCGAAAGGCCTGCAAACTGGATGAAAAGGGATGCCAATGGTTCTGATCTCTTCACCGCAAGCTCCAAGCAGCAGAGCACAGGGAATAATAGCACTGTTGCCACTGGATCCAAGCTTTATGAAGCAGAATCCTCTCCTGACGGGAATATCAGTGCAGTACTTGAGGTTTGTCAACTATGTGGACTTGTTCTTTATCAGTTTTTAGTTGAATACATACTTGTTTATGATATCTGTTTAATTTTTTATTGTATTTTTGCAGGAGGAAGAAGCACTAATTGCTGCTCATAGGAAAGAAATTGAGGACACAATGGAGATTGTTCGTGAAGTGAGTTATTACATATTTTTCTTTAGGTTACATTTAATTTTGATTTTCAATTTCTAGTTGCTTTCGTCGGGTCACTTGAGAGTACTTTAGTTTTGGTGTTGCGGCTTATGTTACTCGTGTATGTTTTTTTCTTGTGCTATAGTAGAAACTAGCGTTCTTTTCAAATTGTTTTATTTTAAAAATTTATGAATAGAAAAAGAAATTAGTGGAGTAATTGAATTTCAGATAACCTGTAGACGATTTATTTTTTTGTGCTCATCATGTATTGCTTTTGGTTTTCAGGAAATGAAACTCTTGGCAGAAGTGGACCAACCAGGGAGCCATATTGACAACTATGTAAACCAATTGAGCTTTGTCCTTTCTCGCAAGGCAGCTAGTCTCGTGGGTCTTCAAGCTCGCCTTGCTAGATTCCAACATCGACTAAAAGAAGAGGAGATTCTAAATAGAAAGAGAGTTCCCCGTTAATAAGAGACTCAGTTTCTCTTATTCAATGTCATTTATGATCTGTTAGCAATATAGTTGAAAGGTTTTGTTTGATATAAACGGTTCTTTTGTTGGATGTATTCTAATCAAATTTACTTACATGTACATGTCCTTATGTGATATTTTGGCCACCTCGTGCCTTGCATATTTGGTGTAATTGTGTAGGTTGAGTTATCTGCCCCAAAATTTTGAGAGGGCAAAGTGAAAAAATAAAATAGAATTTGATTCGGCAACAAAAATAAAAATCCACTGTTTCAACTTATGCTTTATTTTTTTTTTCTTTTCTACCATCCTCTATTGAAAATTCCAAATATATTTATCTTGATTGCAAGACATAAAATGCAGTTAAAATATGGACTTTTATGTTGCTCGAGAAAGTGCACTACAGCATAATGTATCCGATATAAGAATGTATTTCTTATTGTACATTACAGCATTTGCGGATTTGATAAAATGTATTAGATTAAAAAGCGACAGATGGAGAACTTAATAAAATATTGCATTATTTCTCTTACCTTTAATTAAAATGTTAATTTATTATCAATTTTGTATTGTTATTTTAAAAGAATAATTTGCATACAAGAGTTCGAATCCAGGAAAGTCATGAGTTCGAATTGAGGAAACAACCTCTTTGTAATTATGCAACGGTAAGACTCCGTATAAAGATTACCTCCACTCCACACTCTCTAGTCGGATTTAACGGGAAGTTGAAAATTTGCACACAAGAGAATACATAGAATTAAGCAAGATATTTCACCTAGACTCCAGGGTCCAAAAATCCCAATAATGCCATGTAAAGCTTCTTTGAAATTCTTTATTTGTGAATCTATCATTTTTTTCTCATTGTTTCTACCAAGTCAATTCTTGTTATATATAACTAACAATTTATGTATTTAACAGACCAACGCTACTACCCCCTCCAAAAATAATAATAATAATAATAATAAATAGAAATTGAGAAACAACTATGATATTTTCTTAGATAAGATACTGGAAAAATATCCCATTATATTGGGTTATATTTTTAGATGTACAAGTGGAAAAATACGGGTAAGTCTAGAATGCTATGCTGCAGAGTCATATCATATAAACGCAGTTCCTGTCATAATCAAAACCAATAAAATTATCACTCTTTTCATTCTTCTTAATTCCCTAGACATCAGGAACAAGCAATATCGTTGAGCAAACCAGAGTGCAAACTGAAAAGAAAGAGAATGGGGGAGGAACTAATATTACCATTAGTCCATTACATAATCAAACACCTCAACCTCAAAACAATGCCTCATCTAATCTGCACTCTTGTATAGCTCTTTTACAGCATATACAACCTATTGCATTCCACTCTACTGCCTGGACCATATGTATAGCCCAGTTCACTATCCAAGCTAACAAATCCTCTAACTCTAAATGGCTATCCTTAAGACATTGTCCAAGGGGAAGGATCCTTATCAACAGGTGCAGTCAATTAGACATCAATGAACTTTTGAATCTCTTGTCCAAAATCGAAGGTCAAAGGCAAAGAACTGGAATACTGATGAATGCTCACTCCTTTGCTTAGTCAGCTTTCAATCTTAATATCTCCTTAGCTGTCCTAAGCCGGAAGTAAGGCATGTGTTCCTACAAATGGAAAGAGAAATTCTATTCTGAAACGATATAAAAAAATAGTATTCTAACAGAAAAAAGGTTTCCTCTGCCAATCTTAAGAGACTCAAAATATGCATCCATTGGATCTTTTTAAAAGGTTCCGGCAAGGAAACATTTGTATTAGATTAATTTTTGTCATGCCATGCATAATGTACAAAGACCAATTGAAAGAATTTGAGAGATTTAATGCAATTAATGACACTTGAATCATTTTGCCTAGAAATATTCTTTGCAGTAACGCTACAGAACATGGGGAAATGGCAACTCAGTTATTGATTTTTTGGGAGATTTCAAGCAATTAAATTTCATTCCTTATTGAACACGGGAATGACTATTGGGTTATGGACATGAGAAAAGGGAAAATATTCAACATAAAATATATAGAAAACAAAAGCATAATTTTCCTGCTACAAATGGAACACTCCAATGCCTACCTGGTTAAAACACAGCCCCAGGCCTCTGCTATAAAAATCAGCGTATTTGATCATAAACACCCCACAATCAAACCTGTTGAGATATAAAATTTATGTTCAGAAAACAATTCACTAAAAACTGCTGCTAACTTAATCTGTTAAGGGTAGCAACAAATCCTGAAAACTTCGGGCATGCATGAGCAGATAGAAAATGTAACAAATGAAAATTGAGAAGGTATTTGAAAATTATTGACGTCAAAATATTTCATTTTCATTCTTTCCATTTTCAATCCCCCACCAAGCTCAAATTAGAGAAGCTCTTCCAAGAAAGTGCAGATAAAAAGAGTTAAAATATCTTTCTTAGACTAATTAAATGCAGAAAGCTTTAATCCAATGAAACCATTCTATGATCAAGTTTCAGTTTCCTTAATTAATCAATTACTCCATAAAACTCCTTAGAGCATTGCCATACTATCAAGTGTTGGTGACCAAGAACTGCATTAATACCAGTAACTATTGCCAATGACTAACTTAGTATTAACCTGGAGGAACAGCAATATTCAAACTTCCATGAACTAAGGTTTCACAAATAATGTTACTCCAAAAAATATCCCAATGACAAATAATCAAGAATTTAATTGACAGAGTCAAGCAGAGCTTGATGTAAGTTCAAAATAAGGTCAATGCATAAAAAATATATTTATCTTAACAATTTTCTTATAGGCATTGAATAAAACAACTTTTCTACCTCTTATTAATCTAATTATTCCTATTTTTTAATTATATATCTACACAACAGAATTTTAGTTCCAATCCAATTTTAAAATTGTAAGAAAGGTGTAACTTTCTTCAGAAAAATCTATTAGCTTCTTTTCTCTATGAAACAAGACATGCTTATGGGTTTTTTGGTTTTAAAAAAGGGTTCGTTTTTTCTAAAGTTACTTTAGACAACTTTATCTAATGTTCGCCGAAACGACGTCGTTTTGGGGCGAAAATCATGGTGTATTTGTAATTTTAATATATTTCAGGGTTATAATAGTCTTTATCATTCTAATTTTTTAATTTTTAAACTTTAAAACGACGTCGTTTCGGTGAACATTAGATAAAATTATCTAAAGTAACATTAGATACTTTTTTCCCTTTAAAAAATGTTGGAAACCTACAGCTCATTTTTCATTGCAGATATCTCTTATTTTTAAAAAGTGGGACAAACAAACACTTAACTAAATGATGATCTAATAAAGTGATATGCAGAAGATCAGAATACAAACCCATTTTCCTGCTCAGGAAGGTCTTCAACAAATTCTTTTTCCCACGTACTTACATCAATATCTTTTCCAGTCTTGTCCTTGACTTCATCCACAAAATATCTAGCCTGGGAGACATCAATGATAAACATTAGATAAACCTTACAATAGCCAAATGTAAATACATGTATATCTTTCCTCAGTTTCTTATTTAATAAATTCCTGCAAAAAATGTGTTAATACTCAGGTGGTCAGGCCCTTAGTGAAACATTGAGTAACTAGAAATATAAAATTTAAAACATTCAAAACTTTTTGTTACTATAAGTTAATCAAAGAAGAGATGACACTTGCCAGAGTGGCTACCCCTGGTATTTTAAGAAAAGCAATGCACACTTTGGCACCAAAGGCAAGACAAAGGCCTGCACCTGACCAAAGCAAATTTTGCTTATTTGGTTTGCTAAAGATTTAAAAACCAACAAGATCAATTGAACAACCGGTAAAGCAACGCACAACTTTCATGTAACATATAATTAAACTGTTACTTAAAAATGTAGTTAGAATTGAAGGTGATTCTAATTTAAAATCAGCAGGAAAAATATTCTTAGGAAACAGATTTATATTAACAATATATAAAATTATAAATCAATTATCAAAAAATTAAATGTTTAAATTCATATACCACAGACAAACTTCCAACACACAGAAGTTTAAGCAATTATCATAGTTTATTTGCCAATTACGTAGTTTTATTATTTTATTTATTTCTGGATTTATCTTTTAATTTAATTTTGATTTCTATTAAGTTTACTTCATGCAAAACCACTACCGCAATGGGCTTTCTGATTCACAAATTTTCTATTTCTTTACATTTCTTGGTTGTTCACTTAAATATACTTAGAATGTTCTACCATTTTTCATCTGTTTAAGTGTTTACCAAATGCAATTGTTTACTCTCCTTCCTAATCCACTTGATTTTATTGTTAATTATTGGACCAAGGCATTGCAGACACATGTTTCATCTTTGTCTATATAAGCTGTCAACAGCTGGCACATCAAATGGACAAACAAGATTTTAAATCCACCAAACTGATGAATCTTCTGCATAATACTTATTTTGATTCAACAACCACCTTGACAATGCAGCTAAGTTTGACTTGTTTCGAAATTCTATAGTTCTTTAACCCATGAGATAAAAATCATTTGCCCTTAGCTTAATCTTAGGCGACCTGTTGGCTACATTTACTAAAGTAAAATGGCACAAGATTCCCAATGATTGAAAAGAAAATTAGAAGGCAGGGTCCAAATTAAAGCAAGACTGGAATTTCAGTTTTCATGTAATTTAAACATTTCTTCATTCTGGAATCTTGATTGAAAAATATACCACCAGTTTATCACACACTGTATTTGATATACTACATGTGACATTACAAAAAAGGAGCCAATCAAATCACTCTGACCTAAAAGCACCCCACATTGCATAAAATAATAATAAAAAGACAAATAAAAGAAACAAAATAAACTACAAGTTCATGTTGACACCAAAACTATTAAAGTATAAAACTAAAGGGAATGTTCTGAATTTGATTGCTTACAATATTCTTTTATTAGCAATATGCAGCTTGGATTATGAAATTTACAGTTAAATTACATAGACCAAAAACTTTACCAGAACTTTTAACGCATGGTTATCCTTTCCTTTCAATGAGTCAAGATACTGGAATTTCTCATCTTTCTTATTGATAACAGCCAAGCACCAATGGATCTCCTTATGAATCGGAACAAATATCTGGTAACGACAATAAATCGGGTAAAATATCAGCACGAAAACCAACTTAATTGACTATAAGAAAAATAAAAATGAAAAATTGGTTCCAACATAATTACTTTGTCACATTCAAGTAAACCATATCCCAACTTCCTTTGGCTGGTCCATCTTCTCACAGATTTGAAATCATAACCATTTCTGCCACTGATTAACTGGCAATTAACATTCAAAATAAAAAGCATCAATATCTGCCCAATATGATTAAATTGAAAATTACAAATTTAGATAAAAAACATATCACATGTATGACATTTCTGTTTTTCACATTAAAGACCAGGATGGGCTGTCTCCATAACATTAATGAGTGCCAAACATCAATCAGAAGCACTAGGATAACCAATAAATATTGGACAATTATAGATTAGAGTTGTGAAGCACTAGCCCAATGCACACCTCTGCTTCCATACCTCACTAATGAAAATATAATTGTTACAAAAAAGGGGAAAAGATTAAGCTAACAATAATAAATAGAAATGATCATCCAAGCAATTAAGAGTCCATGATATTGAGGTTCCATTTATTTCGAGGAATATATAAAAGTTAGGATTCGTTGACACCAACATAAGAACGGCACTTACATTCGGTGGACGAACTAAGAAATAAAGTTTGAGTGGACAAAATAAAAACTTTAAAGGGTTAGCTCTATAATTTTTATAAAAAAATTGGGATCTGGGATTGCCAACTCAGAGTGGATATGACATTGTTACACCGCTGGTTAAAACCATCTAATAACTACTTATAGAACAGGATTTAATAAATTCAATTATTTAATTATGCATAATTTCCATATCAATCATGCACGCTAAGGTTAATAAAATTTAAATTACAAGTACATGATCAAACGGTGTGTAGTGTCAATTTTGATAAAAGTACATTATAACTCAATTTCAGGATATGCTTATGATGTACAAAACAGTTTGAATTAAAGTGAAGTCTTATAAGCATGATATATCTAAAATATGATACATTGAATTTAAAAATCCAAAAAAGAATTAAGTGTACCATCTTGGGATAAGCTGGGATAAAAATATTAATTCAGAACTTTTGAAAAAAAATTTACTAAGTTATTATGACTCAATGATGTTGAAGAATACTTAATAAGGCAATTTCCAGAATTTTTATTAATGACAGGTCTGCTCTAGTGCTATTGAATGGGAAGCCCTCTGTTAAGCTCAGTCTTAGGTGCAAAGTGTCAAAGAAAAATACCCTAACATCAGAAAAATTAAAAATAAATTGCATGAATGAAGAAACCATTTGTTATTCTGCGGGGAAAGGTTGACATTGAATATGCATGTTTAGATCATAGAAAAAAGAAGTCAAAGATGAAGTCTATTTTCAGGGATTTGATAATGAAAAAGTTTAAGTTTTTCATTAAAGAGGAGTTTACAAGAGAGAGAGAAAATTATTGGAAAACAAATACAAGTTAACTGAAAATTGACTAAAATAATTATCATTATTGGGTCAGAAACCATACGAAAGCGTTACACAAAGATTTATGGGTTAGTATTCCCCACATCTATGTGCGCGCCAGCACGCGCACGGAACACACACACACGCATATATATATATATGGTTTTGGAGCAGCAATCAATTAACATATGAACACAACAATTTCCTGTTTGAAACGAGTCAAATGACAATAAATTCTTGGTCTACGAAAACAAAAGCTTCAAGAGTAGAAAAACGGTTCCTTCTTCTTAACAATGGTAGTTGTCTGAATGCAGAGTAGTTTATTTAAGCCAACATTAAATAAGCCTGTGAAGAGGTATTCTACCTTTTTGAAGAAAAATGTATTGAAAAAATGACATTTCAGAAATTTCTGCGGTTCTCTTTGCTCCCTCTCTTTCAGCAACTCAAGGTACAAATTTATCACCTGCACAATTGATGTAAAATCCATCACTGAATTTCAGGGTGCAAAATGTTAAATCAGATATAATTAGGTACCAAAATTTTCACTTCTTTAGTAAATCAATAAAGGATAAACAAATAACAAGTAAGCAAGATCACCTCATCATTTAACCATGCACCCGGCATCAGGCACTGAAACTTTTCCCCAGTGATCTCAATGTTAGAATTCTCATGGGTAACCAAAGTCCTATTCCTGCAGAGTCAATCCCTCAATGAGCTACAACACAGAATAAACTCTTCAATAACATCCAGCCTAATCATCAAAGCATACCGGTTGGCAGAAAAGGCACGTGCGACCTCATTTTTTTCCTCGCTTGTAAGAGAGACAAAAGGTTCGCGTGGAACTTCCTGAAAACCATAATAGCACTTGGGTAAATTGCACTATCACTTAGCCTGTTTTTCATTCCTTAATCAACTAGGCAGTCATAACTATTGATCCGGGCAGAATCCAGCCAGCCCTTGTAGCTAAGCATTAATAATAAAAACTGGATATAACTAATTAAACAACAAAGCACTACTCAGTAAGACTATGAAATAAGGCCTAAAAAACTAAACACACGAAGATGGATAAGCTAATAAGTAATCACCTCTACTAATTCCTTCTTTGGACGCAACAAATTAAATGTATCTAAGCGCTTCTCATTCAGCTTAATTTCAAAGTTCAGCCTCTGAATAGTGTCGTCTCGCCTGCCAACAGCCTCAATCAACTTTTTATACACATGAACACTTGAAAGATCATGCATCTCAGAATCCCACATCTTCCCAACATCATTCACCACCTTCAAGTTACCATTGGTCAACTCAGAATCCAAATATGACGTTGACTGCTGCTGAATGCCACCGTGCACCACCTTTGCATAAGAAGAATCACCACGTGTCTCAACCACCACAACACGACCTTCTTCAAACCTCGAATCTTCCGAAACCTCGTAAACTCCGTCACTCTCAGCGTCCACGTCTATCACCTCCTTCCCCTTTTGCTGCTGCAACGAGTATCTGCATTTCTCCAACGCTGAAAGTTTGGCCCTCTGGTATTTCGCAAAAAGAGAATTAAGAGCATTGCCCATGTCGTCACTAGCACTAGCACTAGCCCTAGCCCTGAACCTCGATTCTACTCTCGAAAGATCGAACTTCCTGGGTCTGCACGGCGCGTGAACCTCCCTAACCAACGGTGTCTTCGCTTCCGGGTACCGGAAAATTCTTGAAACCGTGCTGCTCGATGATGATACGGGTCGGGTTAGCGTGGATGAGAATCTGGGTCTTTTTCTGTGGGAATCTGAAGATGAAGAACAATTGGTGTGAGTGTAATTCACGTTCATGCATTCTTCGGTTCGCTTGCGGTTGCTAGTCATCCCACCCATTTATCGAAACACATGAGCATTCAAGAACAAGCATGTCCAGCACGCGGATTTGGGAAATTAGGGTTTTTCTTTTCTTTTCTTTTTTGGGAAATTAGGGTCGAAGAGCTGGAAAAAGAAAACCCTAGACAAAACGCAAATTTGATTTGATTCTGTTGCTTTGAAATTTGAATGCACAGAAATTGGTGGTGTATGTGTGCACTGCACGGTGCTGATCTGTTCATTAACCTCAAAATTTTGAAGCGATGAGAATGTTGTGTTTTTTTTTTGGCTTCTGCTTTCGCGGCACATAGGAAAAATTTTATTTTATTAAAAATAAAATAAAATGTTATTCTAAAAAACAATTAAGGATATGTAATGTAACGATCAAAATTCAAATTTTGGTTTTTTGTTGTTACAAACACGAGGTAAGTCACACCCAAAAATGGATTTAAGTTTTTCCCAAAGTCGTAAATTTTTTATAGGTTATACTTATGTCATTTTATATGAGATAAACTAAATTTTTATATATACATAATAAATATGGGTTTTACTTTTATTTTATTTTTTTCTCTAATTATACGTAGATCTCATTTATAATTTTATTTCAATAATATAAAATAACTCATTTTTAGTAAGAGAATCACTTGAGATAATTTTATTTCTGGTCATTCCAAAATTACATTATTTTATGTGTTAGCAAAATTAATGAAGATGTTTCGGTATTTTTGTTGTTGTTTATTTATTATATGAATTTCATCAAAATATCTTTCATTAATTCTCCAAACACCTAAAATTACGATCGAAAATAAAATTATATTAAGTGATTTGAGATAAGATAAACCCAAAAAAAACTTCCATTTTTTACTTTGGAATTCAAAATATTAATATTGAGATGCCTTTATGATTACTGACTGGTCGCAGACTCGCAGTAATGATTAAAAATAAGAATTATGGGAGTAGATCCTCTCATGTGCTAATTAACATGATCATGTTATGTGGGGCAATCATAACCATACATAGGTGAGTCAATGGTGATAAGAGAGGAGAGAGAAAATAATATAAGAATAAGTAGTTATACAATCATCACCGTTGATTTAATTATTAATGGTTAAGATCCTTTCACATGATCATGTTATGTCATGTGAGATAAGATAAACCCAAAAAAAACTTCCATTTTTTACTTTGGAATTCAAAATATTAATATTGAGATGCCTTTATGATTACTGACTGGTCGCAGACTCGCAGTAATGATTAAAAATAATAATTATGGGAGTAGATCCTCTCATGTGCTAATTAACATGATCATGTTATGTGGGACAATCATAACCATACATAGGTGAGTCAATGGTGATAAGAGAGGAGAGAGAAAATAATATAAGGATAAGTAGTTATACAATCATCACCGTTGATTTAATTATTAATGGTTAAGATCATTTCACATGACATGATCATGTTAAATTACACATGAGAAGATCCATTTCCAAGAATTATTCTTTAACGTGCCTTAGTTATGTTCGCTTCACAAAAACTTCAAAAAATAATAATTGTTAAAGCAATTAATCATTCACGTGGTTTGATTGTAGTGAAATTATTTTTTCTAAAAAAATTTATATTCAAAAAGAATTGATTTATTAAAGAGATAGGTTATTATTATTATTATTTTCATTCATATTTTGTCTATTAATCTCTAATATCATTATATTATAATTTCAAGAGTATAGAGAAATGATAAAGATTAATTGAGATTGTGATCTAATAACATTATAAAATGATAGACAAATAAACATGTAAACAAATAAGTTGAATAACATATTTCAATTTTAAAATAATAATTGACATCTTACTTTGTTTTAAAATGTGGCTCAGAGCAGATGGTGCATTGGCCTATTGCGAGTGGAAAGGATCTCGCGGCGAAGGTGAGTTTGGGAAAGAGAAAGTGACAAGTCCTCCTCAGACACTGTTTTTTAAATTCTCATTTGACTTTTCAGAAACACAAATGAGGGACAAGTGCAGGAAATATTGGATTCGGCCGAAGCTCGTAGCATCTAAGTACCTTAGAAAAGCTAATGAATCATTATTATTGTTGCATAATCAAAGGACATACCTTTTTGAAAGCGTAGGTACACACGATAGGTCTCCTTGTTCTGTGTAACTTCGTTTGGAAGAGTAAATGCATACGAAACTTCATGTCTCTTTTTTTTATAAGCTGCGGCAATGTTACTTTCAAAATGTGTATTGGGAAAGAATTTGGTAACTCGGATTTCTATCTTCTTCGGACAATGTCTTGTGAATAGAAAAATATACGAGAAGCTATGTAAAAACCCTAATCTATATTTAGATTTATCTTACCCATTTAAGCCCAGAAAGGGCTATCTTAAGCGGCCCTTTGCTACGAGGTTTTTTTTAGGATTTCCGGAAAATTAATTTTTTTTAAATTTTAAATTTTTGGATATTATCGTAAACTGAATATAAAAATCATATTTTTGAAAATTACGATTCTCGGACAAAAAAAAAATTTCTCCTCTACCAAACGCTCCTTTAAAGAGTATAAGTCTAACAATCTCTCGTTTGTTCTTGAACATATACTTAAGCCCAAATCCTAAGATCTTGTAACTCGAAGTCATGTCATCATATGCATAAGCTAGTCACATTTTTATAATGATTGTGGGCTTCAATCAATTGTAGCTTTTTTTGTTTTAATAAAAAAATGGACTAAATCATGATCCATATAGTGATGCAGTATAAAGCTCAGTTAATTAGTGATCTTTTTGATTTGGGCTTGAATATCTGTAAACTGATTAGTGTGGGTAACAGTATAGGCCTAATTCATAGACCCATGATGGGAAGGGGACTAGGATTAACAAGTTTGGCTAGGTCCCCTCTGCATTCACAGTGTGTTGAAAAACTGTCACTTCACAACTCGCCCCATCGACGGTTGTGGTCAAGGAGTGGTGTGAATTGCAGAGGAAGATCCTGATCTTTCCATTGCAGGAGCATCAAATTAAACAAGAAGCCTTCAAGAAATCAAGAATCGTGTCTTCAACAAGTAAGCCTGAATCTTTTGGTGTTCTAAATTCATAGAATCCTATTTTAAAATTTCTTACATTTGGTATCAGAGCCTAGTTTATATGATTTAAAACCCAAACATTTTATTATTGGACATGATTGAATGTTTTAGAAATTGAAATTGTCGTCTTCTTTAATTCTTAGACAAGTAAATTATAAATCGATGATTGGCACATAAAGTTATGTACTACAAATAAAGAATTTCAAAAAACACGATTTGTAAGGTAATTACTATTTGCATAAATTTAAAGAATATATTTATTGGCATCACAGATCTTGGATTTGTATAAATACCTGCACATTGGGTGATGGCAAAATGACAACCACGTCTTGATTTTGCAATCGTTTATCTTGGTGTTTTAGAACGGATGACTAATATTTATTTGGTTAAGCTATTGATTTTTCAAATGTTAACGATGTGAAGCTTTTATATTTTTCTTAATCGATTGAATTATGAATTTAATATAAAATATCCAAGATATTGTATATTCTGTTGAGTGACCCAATTTATTATTGTGTTTATCGTTTATATATATATATATTCAAATAATTTCTGATTTTATTATTATTATTTGATTTGAGATCCTATTTGGATTTGATTGAAAGCTTTCAAGATATATCTTTATGTTAGTGATTGTGGGTCAATGAAAATATTTAGATAGAAGTAAATACATTATCATTATTGTTTTTGTATTTAATTTGAAAATATTTGGAATGAATAGTTCAAAATAAAAGTTATTTGGTAATCTCGTGGGTTACATCATATTTAACATGAATAAAAAAAAACATGAATCCCTGGTTTTCGGAAAAAAAAAAATATAGAGTAGGTGTGGCTGCAATTCTAGAGCCAAGAGTTAGTGGAAAGAAAGCCATCAGCATAATTCGTAGTTTAGGATTCTCCAACTACATAATTGTTGATGTAAAAGGATTTACTAGGGGAATATGGATTGTGTGGAACTCCATTGATGTTCAGATTTCTCTTCATTTTCTTCATGATCAATTCATTCACTGTTGGGTGGAATTTCCTGAAAAGAAAGGTTTCTTTTGGACTGCTGTTTATGCCAATCCTAAGGAGGAGAACCGAAGGGTGTTATGGGAAGAGCTGAAGCAAATTGGAAGAACCATGAATGATCCCTGGTTACTTTCTGGTAATTTTAATGAAATTGTTTCAGCTTCAGAAAAAAGATGAGGGGGGCCAGTTGACTACAACAGATGCAACCGTTTTAGCACTATGCTGGATGCTTGTGGTGTTATGGATCTGGGGGGTGGGGGAAATAGGTTCACTTGGAAAGGACCTAAATTTCTCCATCTTGATAGAGTATATAAAAGATTATATAGAGCAGTATCTAATGAGGCTTGGAGAGCAAACTTTGAAGAAGCTGATGTTTTGGTGCTGCCCAGGCTTTTTTCAGATCACAGCCCTATCCTAATCAGAATGGAGTATGAGGAGTCCAGATGGAGAGAGAGGCCCTTTCGTTTTTTGGCTGCTTGGCAAAAAGACCATAGATTTAGTTCTTTCCTCAAAGAAAACTGGAATCATTCTGCTTGTTTATTGGAGAGTGTGAATTCCTTTATTCCTTTGCTTAAGGAGTGGAATATGAATGTGTTTGGCTTCACTTATCACAGAAAGAATATAGTGATAGCTCGTATGGAGGGTATCCAAAGGCAACTCACTTCCTTGAACAGTGTTCAGTTAGAAGAATTGGAGGCTAAGTTAAAGAGAGAGCTTTCTAAAATCCTGGACCAGGAGGAGTTAATTTGGTATCAGAAATCCAGGGGAGATTGGATTAGAGATGAGGATAGAAATACAAGGTATTATCACACTAGCACTCTTATTCGCAGAAAAAAGAATAAAATCCTAAAACTCCAGGATGACAAAGGTTGTTTGGTGACTGGAGATGAGGGATTAATTTCCTTGGCAAGGAATTTTTTCTTGAATCTGTTCCTGGAAAACTGTATTGACCCTGTTTGGAGTATTACAAAAAACAGCTGGCTTATTCTGAGTGATGATCATCTTGCTAGGCTGTCTGTAAATATCACTCTTGAGGATGTCCAGCTTGCTTTCTTTCAAATGCCCCCTCTTAAGGCTCCTGGACCTGATGGACTTCCAGCAATGTTCTATCAAAAGAATTGGGATTTTCTAAAAGGCCAGATTTTCAAGAGTATTC